TCAGTCTGCCAAAAGTAGTCACTTTGATTTGATTTGCCTTGAATGAAATTTTTAAAATGTAAAGCTAAAGTCTTCAGGATCACTGCACTGGGTTTCTATGGGACAACACTGAACAGGGCTGCCACTGAAACACCTTGGATGAGAGCCTCAAACTCCCTGAACACAGCATCCAGCACACTACTGGGAGAATGACTGGGACTCAAAAATGTGTGCAATGAATGTACTTATGAGCTTGTTGGAGAGGAAGTAAAGAGGTTGTATGTAATTACCTCAAATTAGTACTACTACAGAATAATCAGTACTGGTAAAGTAAAAGTAGTGCTAAAGTAGTACTAATAAAGTAGTACTAATAGCCCTACACTAGTAGTAGTAATAAAGTGGCATTGCTATTGATTCTATCCATCTATCTACCTACCTGTCTGGATGGGAGGGCACAGGATTTGACTGATAAGATTAGGCTTAGCAGTGAAAAGAGCTCATGTATGCTTTAAGCAGGTATGCACTCAAACTTGGTATCATGTGACTGTTCTGAATTCCAGAACCATGGCTAAAGGGTGGAAGTTTTGTTTGACTGTGTCTCACATTTTCCTTTTGGTCTATTGTCTAACACATGTTGCTAGAATTCATTTTACTCTGACTACCTTTTATGTACAGACAACGCTGTTATTGAAGAGATCACACCCAAGCGGATCAGAGATTGGCCCAATACTTACACCTACACCAAGGCCTTGGGAGAAATGGTGGTGCAGCAGGAGAGCAGGAGCCTAACCATCGTCATCATAAGGCCCTCCATTGTGGGAGAAATGTGGCATAAGCCTTTCCCAGTAAGCCCACTTACCTGGATTCTGTGTTTTGCTTTCAAACTAAGGTTTTTCTAGCCCAATTATTTTCTGATGTCTTTCTTCTTCTCCTCAGGATTTATAGCTAAATGCAGCCAATCAAATATGAACCCATTATACTAGGGCAAAATCCCACTTTGGGATCATGAGGCTCTTTCTGGCAGTTACCCTGACTATCTTAGAGTTGGATGGAGATCTTAAATTAGCTTCTAACTACTCTAGTCTCAAAATTCCCATGGGTGATGTTTTTATATCTTGGCTTTCCCACTATAGCTTAAACAGACCAGAATGTTCTTGATGGCCAACTTGATAGTATTGCAACTAACTGCCAGGGTAAACAAGAGTTACAAAGCTCACAGAAGGATCTCAGTTTGGGAATAGTAATTTTTTTTAACCTCAGTATACTGCTGTGTCCTTCTGAAAGTACTTTGAATTATACTGTCTTCTTCAAAGCAGGTCTGTGAAGCTTTGGGGGCAGATAAATTCCAGCTCCACCACTTACTGGCAATGTGACATTTTTGAGTTGTTCTTTCCATAAAACAGGACACATACTACTTTGGAGAGTTGGTTTAATGAGACAATGTATGAGGAGAGGAGTGCTCAGACTCTAGTAAAAGGCGGGTCCCTACTGAAAAGGCTCAATTAATATTAGTCCCTTCATCTTCTCCTCCCATATCTCTTGTCTCCCATTATACACATTTTGACTTTTATACTGTAAGGTAAATAGACATAATAAGGTCAGCTGAATGGCTTGGGGCTTAGGAAACAAACTCAAAAAGACATTTCCCTCTAACTACTCTTAAGCATAATCTTTCCTGTAACATCTTTAAGCAAGTCAACACACATTACTACCAATCATGTTTTCAGTGTTCTCCTAAGGAGGCTAAAATCAGGACTAAGGTGGAGAAGTATGGTTGGTGAATTGCTTAGCAGATCATGATATAAGGACAAGGTCCACTGTAGCCCTTAAGATGTCACAAAACACTGCAAAACCATTCATGGCTCCTGCTGTGAACAACAATCCTGGCCAAATTTTAATTATTGGACAAAGTGCAGAAAATAGCCAATGTTTTGGCATTGATCTTTGGGATCTTAATAATACTGAATTAGATAGTTCTATTAGCTGGGGTCTCAGTGCCCTTGTTTGAAATTTATTGAGATTAGACTGCAGATGTTCCAAGATAACAACAATTTTCTAAAATGTGTAACCAGTGGAAATCTTCTTTCTTTTAGGGTTGGGTTGATAATCTAAATGGACCTAGCTGACTCATTATCGCGGTATGTATAGGGATGAAGAAATAACTCTGAAACGTAGTGGAGGAATAGTAACAGAATTCTTAGTGCTGGCTTAGCTTCATTGATCCAAAAACGTAAATGCTACTTTACTATCAATTGAAGCATATTATTTCAACGATTCTGGTTATAATATGAAGGCAGGATGAAATTATTTTTATTCTTTTAGAATTTTTTATCAGGAAAACAGGTAAAGCGCTATCAATTACTATTTAAGAGTTCTATTTTGAAAAGTCTTTGAGAATTAAGGATTTTTCTTTTTTCTTTTTTTTTTTTTTTAAAAAAACTTTTTTAAACTTAAAAATAAAACCAGCAAAAGTCTTATAAAAATGAAGCAAGTAGCCCAAAAAATGGTTAGGGTTAGGGCTAGGATTAGGGTTAGGGCTAGGGCTAGGGTTAGGGTTAGGGCTAGCGGCTAGGACTAGGGCTAGGGGCTAGGGCTAGGGCTAGGGGCTAGGGCTAGGGGCTAGGGCGATTGCAGATTCGGCTGCTCATTGTATAGTGTTGTGTTTATTAGCTTTCAACAATGCTAATCCCGAGTGCCGGGCTGCTCTGCGGCCTTTTAGAGGGAAAGCACATTTTGTTGATTATATCAAGGCCTGTGATGGTATCAGAGGTAATCTGCTTAAGACTACTTTGTTGGCACAGACAATGGCAGGACTGAGAGTGGATAAAGGAAATACTCTGTTTCCTGGAGCTTGTATTAACTGTGGGAAGCATGGTCATACTGAAACAGAATGTGGAAAAAGTCAGTGAATCAGCCCACCAGATAGAGGAAGAAAGAAAACTGCTGATCCTGAAATATGTCCAGATTGTGAAAAAGGAAAACATTGGGCTAATCAGTGTCAGAAGATGGGAACCCGATTTTGCAAGGCTCTAAATAGACCTTCAAATGCATTACATAGTATTGGTGAAACAGATCATCAGTCTCTGCCAAAGTAGTCACTTTTGATTTGATTTGCCTTGGAATGAAATTTTAAAATGTAAAGCTAAAGTCTTACAGGATCACTGCACTTGGGTTTCTATGGGACAACACTGAACAGGGCTGCCACTGAAGCCGCCGGATGAGAGCCTCAAAGCTCCCTGAACACGGCATCCAGCACACTGCTGGGAGAATGACTGGGACTCAAAAATGTGTGCAGTAGAATGTGCTATGAGCTTGTTGGAGAGGGAAGTAAAGAGGTTGTATGTAATTACCTCAAATTAGTACTACTACAGAATAATCAGTACTGGTAAAGTAAAAGTAGTGCTAAAGTAGTACTAATAAAGTAGTACTAATAGCCCTACACTAGTAGTAGTAATAAAGTGGCATTGCTATTGATTCTATCCAATATCTACCTACCTGTCTGGATGGGAGGCACAGGATTTGACTGATAGATTAAACAGCAGTGAAAAGAGCTCATGTATGCTTTAAGCAGGTATGCACTCAAACTTGGTATCATGTGACTGTTCTGAATTCCAGAACCATGGCTAAAGGGTGGAAGTTTTGTTTGACTGTGTCTCACATTTCTTTGGTCTATTGTCTAACACATGTTGCTACAAATTCATTTTTACTCTGACTACCTTTGCAGACAAGCTGTTATTGAAGAGATCACACCCCAAGCGGATCAGAGATTCGGCCCAATACTTACACTACACCAAGGCCTTAGGAGAAATGGTGGTGCAGCTTGGAAACGGGAGCACAACCCATCGTCATCACTTGAGGCCTCCATTGTGGAGCTGTGGCATAAGCCTTTCCCAGTAAGCCCACTTACCTGGTTCTGTGTTTACTTTCCAAACTAAGGTTTTTCTTGTTATTTTCTGATATCTTTCTTCTTCTCCTCAGGATTTATAGCTAAATGCAGCCAATCAAATATGAACCCATTATACTAGGGCAAAATCCCACTTTGGGATCATGAGGCTCTTTCTGGCAGTGCACCTGACTATCTTAGAGTTGTATGGAGATATTAAATTAGCTTCTAACTACTCTAGTCTCAAAATTCCATAGGTGATGTTTTATATCTTGGCACCCACTATAAGCTTAAACAGACCAGAATGTTCTTGATGGCCAACTTGATAGTATTGCAACTAACTGCCAGGGTAAACAAGAGTTACAAAGCTCACAGAAGGATCTCGGATTTGGGAATAGTAATTTTTTTAACACTCAGTATACTGCTGTGTCCTTCTGAAAGTACTTTGAATTATACTGTCTTCTTCAAAGCAGGTCTACAGCCAAAGCTTGGGGCAGATAGTTAACTCCACCCGCACTAGCAATGTGACATTTTTGAGTTATTCTTTCCGCAAAACAGGACACATGCTCTTTGGAGAGTTGGTTTAATGAGACAATGTAGCGAGGAGAGGAGTGCTCAGACTCTAGTAAAGGCAGGTCCCTACTGAAAAAGCTCAGTATGTCAGTCTCACTCATCTTCCTCCATATCTCTTGTCTCCCATTATACACATTTCAACTTTTATACTGTGAGGTAAAGAGACATAATAAGGTCAGCTGAATGGCTTGGGGCTTAGGAAACAAACTTAAAAAGACATTTCCCTCTAACTATATTATGGCTTTTTGCATAATCTTTCCTGTAACATCTTTAAGCAAGTCAACACACATTATTACCAATCATAATTGTTTTCGTATTTATCTAAAGAGCTAAAAAATCAGGACTGAGGTGGAGAAGTATGGTTGAAGCGTTAGCAGATCATGATATGAGACAAAGTCCACCGTAGCCATAAGATGTCACAAAACGCTGCAAAACCATTCATGGCTCCTGCTATGAACAACAATCCTGGCCAAATTTTAATTATTGGACAAAGTGCAGAAAATAGCCAACGCTTTGCCATTGATCTTTGGGATCTTGACAATACTGAATTAGATAGTTCTATTAGCTGGGGTCTCAGTGCCCTTGTTTGAAATTTATTGAGATTAGACTGCAGATGTTCCAAGATAACAATTTTCTAAAATGTGTAACCAATGGAAATCTTCTTTCTTTTAGGAGTTGAGTTGATAATCTCAATGGACCTAGCCGACTCATTATTCTGATGTATATAAGATGAAGAAATAACTCTGAAATGTGGTGGAGGGGAATAGTAACAGGAGTCTTGAATTGCTGGCTTATGACTTCATTGATCCAAAACGTAATGCTTCTTTACTATCAATTGAAGCATATTGACTCTCAACTATTCTGGTTATAATATGAAGGCAGGATGAAATTATTTTTATTCTTTAGAATTTTTATCAGGAAAAACAGGTAAAGCTATCAATTACTATTTAAGGATTCTATTTTGAAAAGTCTTTGAGAATTAAGGATTTTCTTTTTTCTTTTTTTTTTTTTTTAAAAAACTTTTAAACTTAAAAATAAAACCAGCGAAGTCTTATAAAAATGAAGCAAGTAGCCCAAAAAATGCCCACCTGCCGCTCTATATACAGTAATGCAATATTTGTCTGATTTTGGCACAATATTGTAAAAGTATGTGAACAGTACCAATTAAGGCCCTTATTTCTCATAGGACATCAAGCCTTATGACCTGGTGGGAACAGAGGAAGATGCCCTTAGTGTGCACCATTTTGAGAAGCAGAACTCGTCAAAGGCGGGAATAGTGGTCTTTTCCCCACCTGGCCTTCAGTCACAGATGGGGGGCTGGGCGCGGTGGCGTGATCTTCAGACCCTCTGTAGCCACACACTGTGCTGCGCTTCTCTGGGTGCAATAAATACCGGTCACCGTTTGGGAGGGCCTTGCGCAGTGGGCGGGCGTCTGGGCTGCATGTGCGCTTCTGTACCCAGGGCAAGGTGGGCGGAGTGCGGCGCGGTGGCACCAGTGGCGAATGGCCAGTGGCCCAGCTCTTGCCTGAGGTGGCAGAGTCATAGCTTGTCTGGTGAGCAGCACCGCTGCATCATCCCAGTGGCCGTGGTTGACATCACTTGTGTAGCCACTGCTGTGGATCATGCCCAGGGTAAGAGATCTCTTGCTGTAGGGCTTGCCTAGCCGCACAACATACATGGTGGTGCCTCCCAGGCCAGGAGCGTGCCACTCGCCAGGGCTTAGCCTCCAGTAGCTGCAGCCGGGACGCGGCGCCACATGAGAGACCGCCGGCGACTGGGGGGTGCCAGGCCTAGGCCCAGGGCTGTGGCGGTGGCCCGAAGCCAGGCTTGGCGGGGGTGGGGTAGAGGCTGGGAGCTGGGGCGCCTCATAAAGGCCAGGTTGGTGTCCTCAAGCCCAGCGCCACGGAAGGGCAGCGGGCAGGAGGCGCAGGCCAGTAGGGAGCTGAAAGGCGGGTGTCGGCGGCGGGGGACACAAGGACTGCTATGCATGGCTGCGGCCGGGCGCCTGCGTGTTTGAGGCCGCGAGGTCCATGGGTGAACCCGAGGTCGCGCGCCGCCCTGGCCTTGTCGCTTCAGGGGCTGGGCCTTGTGGCGCTAGGCAGCGCCAGTAAGCGGTTTGCCCAGCAGGCCGGGCGCTGGTGGCTCAGGCCTGTAATCCTAGCACTTTGGGAGGCCGAGGCGGCGGATCACTTTGGGGTCGGGAGGTCAGAGACCATCCTGGCTAGCGGTGGCTGTCGCCGCACACACACCGTAAAAACACAACACACACACACACACCGTAAACACATACACACACACACACACACACTAGCCGGGGCGAGGTGTGGGCGCCTGTAGTCCCAGCTACTCGGGAGGCTGAGGCAGGCGAATGGCGTGAACCCAGGAGGCGGAGCTTGCAGTGAGCCGGAATCACGCCACTGCACTCCAGCCTGGGCGACAGAGCAAGGGTTACATCAAAAAGAAAAAAGAAAACAAAAAGGAGAGAGGAGAGAGCGAGCGAGGCGGGGCGAGGCAGGGCAGGGCGGGGAGGGGAGGAACTGGCCGCCATCACGGCGTGTCCAGCTCCAGATCACGCAGCAACTGGGACCCACCTGCCAGAGCCGTGCGGGGGCACCGCAAACGCTGCGTGCAGTATTTTAGGTAGCAGGGCCGCAGGCAATGCGAGGGGTCGCGAGAGCTTCCAGTTGTGCCTGGCTGAGCCGTCCAGCCTGTGGGCCCGAATGAAGTCCACATACGCCCGTGGTGAGGCGTAGTGGAGTGCCCCTCGTGCGGGTCACCCTGCAGGCGGGTGGCTGC